AACGGAGGGAAAGGAGGAGGTGGTCTGCCACACAGTGACAGGGTTTTTACAGACTGCACGGCTGCCACCGTACTTATGCTGGCCACCCAACAGCGCCTATGCGTATAGCTGCGACCATTCTTTGCGGCAGCCTCACCAGCGACTAACAGCGCTTCGAGCGTTCGTGAGCGACTAGGAGAGTATAGATATCGATCTCGCGAACGGCAGCGTATACCAGCGTCCACCAGCGACCAGGAGTAGGAGGGTAGCAGACTGCCGATAGAGCATGGGGAACCAATAGGGAGAAGACGGCTGGATTAGGCGTCGCGAAATTGTGGCGTGTGCAACCGCACCATACTACTCACGATACCGTACTCCTGGAAGCTAAAGTCTTCTATCGGGGCTAGGCTTGAGTCTCCCCAGCCACGAATCCTTTTTATTTGCAAGAAGCCCATCTCCTGGTCCGCCACATTTTTGCCCATACCTTTTAATATTTTGACGGCAGCTTATATATCTGCGCCATTTTTATGCGACTCTGGTATTCTGCGCTCTAAACCTGAGCCTTAGTTAGCGGAAGAGAAGCATAGGCGCTGCCGTGTGGCCACTTTGAACTACTAGCAACTAGCACCATTACATGTCCATGATTAGTGAGTGTTCGCCTGCATTTTATGCCAATGCAAAGTCAGCCCAGCACTCGCGCTTGAAACAGTTACCGTGCCCTTGGGAGAAGAGCTAATTGAGAAGTATCCTCTCTAGGAAGCTTATATATACCTACCTCTGCGGGAGTGTCCGAGGAAGTGCGTGGATTGCTCTCAACGTAAATGGATTTGCTGGTCTTTTGATCTGAAAGATTATTGTCATTAACAAAAATTCATACGGTTAGAGCGAAAGCCAAGTCTCATTACTATTTAATCAAAGAGAGCTTCAGGGAGAGTCAAAGAAAGCTGTCCAAAAGCTGGTAACCAGGCGTAAGTGGAAAAACCAAGAAGACTACTAGTCGACTTGTTTGTGAAGAAGAAAAAAAAAGCAGAGAAAGCCACCGGAAATGGCCTGAGCAAGGCAGCTCCTTATTTCAAGTGTATAATTAAAAAATTATTAGAAATACAAGCATGAGAGTCTCCAACTGCTTTCTTCATATAACCTCAGCATTGTTGTAAATTTGATGTTCTACTTCTGAGCCAACGAGGTTTGTAGGTGGAACTTTATTTACGGCCTAACGTTTCGACCAGATCGTCGTCCTCAGAGGCCTAAACGTAGCTCAAGATTTTTAATTTGCTCTCTACACCGCCAAACGCCTCGTCGCCCTAGCGTTTCCGACGGTACTTCCAGAAACAACCAAAAACCCTCCAATAGGTAAAAAAATACCAAGTCCACCGCGGTATGAGCGAATCAACGCTCCTCCACTAGGTGTTAGTAAAGTGAGACATATCTTATATAGTAGCTATCTGACCTGCACGTTCCACCGCTTACATGAGTAGTTAGCAAAAATTAAAAATATTGAGCTACGTTCAGGCCTCTGAGGACGACAATTTGGTCGAAACATTAGGCCATAAATAAAGTTCCAGCTACAGACCTCGAGACGAGAGATACCACCGCGGGTGGTCTCTGGCGCTTAGGCGGGCTTATCTTGTCCGCAAAATAAACAAAACACTAATCTCCGAAGATTATGGTCCTTGCCATGAGGAAAGTAAATGGGTCGGTAGCTGCAGTAGCGTGAATTTTTCTCCGCTCGCAAAAAGCACAGGACTGGACTCGAAGGTTTAGATATTAGGTTGTCCGGAAAGTTCTCAGCGTTTTGGGTGTTTCACTTTAAACGATCGTAACTTTTTTAATACTCATCGGATTTAATCGAAATAGGCACCATTCGAATCAGCACACTTTTGCCAATGTGACAGCAGTCGAGAAATCCCATCAAAGTAAAAAACTGGGTGGTCGAAAATTCACGAAATCCACGAAGGCTTTTTTGCCTGGTCCTGTTTGATGAAGTATTTCCCAGCAAGGAAGTTCTGAAAATGTTTGAAAAGGGAATATTCGGTTGGTGGAAGGTCTGGAGAATATGGCGGTTGAGGTAGAACTTCAACCCCCAATTCGTTCAATTTATGGATAGTGATTTGTGAAACGTGTGGGCGGGCGTTGTCATGCAAAGGAATCGGATCCTTTCTTTTAATAAGCGTTG